ACCTCAATTTACTGAAATTCAGGAACTTACTGTATCACTTACTAAAAGATTCAAAAGTAAGCCAGTGCGATTATAAACACGTTAGTAAATTTTGTACACAGAAACAGTAAATGGCAGAAAATGAATAGTATAAGAAATACAGGACAATAATGGCTCCAGCACAAATAATTACACGCCACTCATCCAAGAGTTTACTGCTAACAAAGGGGTAGGTACATAACAACAAGGTCACATATACTCTATTATACTAAGCTACCCGTTCAACAGGATGAATCTCGTAACCTTAACATTATTCCTTGGCAGCATTTATTTTTCAAATAAAGAATGTGTTTATGAATGACAGAGTGACTACACCGCTATGTCACTGGCCATCTGTCAATGGGACATGTAACCAGTTTTATAGGAAATCCCTCGGACTCGAGCCCACCACGTTGGGATTGTTATATCAAAAGAGAGGGCATGAAAATTTCATAAAATTACGTCACAGGGTATTGTGACGTGTTTGCATCTTTTTGGTACTAATTTCTAAAGATAGGCCCGAATTCCAACATTCAAGACAATCAAGAATGACAGAACTCTATTCAGTATATTTCCAAAATGTTCTTCAATTTTAAATAGTCAACTTCAATGTGTGTCTTTTACAAGTTGTGATAAGTTTGCGATGTTTAGTTCACACATACGATTATCATATATCACAGAAGAGAGTTCAACAAACATAATATGAACAATAACAATATATTGATGAATAAATCTGGTCAATAATATAGACTATACATTGGTCGTTTTATGTCAGGAATACAAACCAGATACTTAAAAAAACTAAAGTCATACAAAAGCAGCATCTTAACCTTCTGCCCCACGTGAACACCTGGCCGGCCGGCCTCCTGGATAGTTGTGACACTAGTGTTACATGTTATACTTTCCTGGAGGAGTCAATATCAACATCTGGGTGACGTTGACATAGAATCCCCCCAACTACCCAAACGTGCCACATTTGAATGTGCAACATTGTGGCTCTGGATGTCAAATGTTGAAAGATTCAGTTGCGCGGACCAGTGTGACCGCCCTGTATATTGTAGAAATCAGGTATATGCATACTGAGATTTACCATTCTGAAGGGGCGGTCGGCTAGCCTAGTGGTAAAAACGTTCGCTCGTCACGCCGAAGACCCTGATTCGATTCCCGACATGGGTACAATGCCCATTTCTGGTGTCCCCCGCCGTGATATTGCTGGAATATTGCTAAAAGCGGCGTAAAACCATACTCACTCACTCACCATTCTGAAGCCATACCTTGCCCTCATAATGGCCATTAGAAAACAAAAATCTGCTGCACGTCTTGACCAATCAACAAATCAGAAGTCCACCTACTCGTCGCAAAAAAGTTCACATTTATTACTATTTTTTAAACATTATTCTGCTAACATGCATTGGTTTCGATGAAGGCTCTCTCAGAATGATAAGTACATGACACTGGTTATCAACGCCTTGCATAGCTCTATATTGTGAAGGGGTGCAAACAACCAGTGATCCAGGAATACCCAGACAACATGCATACGCCGGTCTGTGAAACATATTCATAATGATTTTTTTCTCTATGAAATATTTTCAACATTCATGGATGAATGTTTTTTCACTGGTCTACAGACACGTGTTCATTTGATGTATGTGATGCATAGGTAAAATGTAGCGGCTGTCATCTCCATGACAACCAGTGTTCAACTCTCGGACCTACTTTTGACCAAAGAAAATATCTGCCCATTGACGCTTGGGTGCCCCGCAACAAAACGCGACCAACATGCAATTCAGACGCGTTCCCATCTTACTGCACAGCGGTACAGCACGTTTCATGTTCCACTGCTTAACATTGACAAAGCTGATTGCATTGGAAAACATTAAATAGACATTCGAAACACATTTGTTATGAAGTCGAACGTCATTATAAGCATGTCATTTCATTAATATACTTGGTACTGAGTCTGGTATAATTGGGTTCATTACCAAATGTTCTAAGATTGATTTCTGAGAGTATTTGGTTTGATGTTACAGAGAACACACAAGGATAAGTTCTAAATGGTGTGATTAGTTCCTCAAACTTACCTATAGTTGGACTTTTTCTGGGGGGTGAACACTAATATAGTTTATATGGAGTGCAAATATGATCAAATATATTGACTAATGAGACGCATGTGATTTGTGATGTAGATTAGGTCAATGATTAACCAAATTTAAAGCGATCAATATTTCGTAACCATCTCTCAGGCAAGCAACATACACACAACAGTCTCGCCAAATGTGGCAGGCTATTTCAGAGAAAGAGTCCGAAGACCTGCATTGTAGATGGTGAACAATACAGTATCAGCCTAGTGAGCCACAGAACGTTAGTGTGGAAACATGGGTAACGATAAGATTGTGTATTCCATGGAACCATCTTTGAATTGCTTTAAATCATTCTGTTCCATCTCAATCAATGGCAAATCCGCAGAACCGTTGATGCGACGTAAAAGGTTGTATGCACTCACGTCATCACGTCACACACTGACGACATTCTTAGTCATGCGTTTTTCTGAATAGATCATGTTGTGGTTCTCTCGAACTTGTGCAGTGTGTACTGACGGAACTAGTCTTTCTGTTAATTCCCCTAAATAAGCAGCCGACATATATGTCTCTCTAATACAACTTGATCTCACCCAGGAGCTCATCGATTCCTCTTGCTCTTGTATATTTCATTCCAAGCTCAACCATCTGTGTCTACTTGATCAGTCCCCAGGTTGTCAATTTTAAATGAACTATTCCCAATTTGCAAGAGTACAAGAACTTTCCCCTATTTTGTCACTTTACATCAACTGTTCGTGCTTTGTCACTTTACATTAACTGTTCCCTCTTTGTCACTTTACATCAACTCTTCCCTCTTTGTCACTTTACATCAACTGCTCTCGCTTTGTCACTTTACATCAACTGTTCCCGCTTTTTCAGTTTACATGAACTGTTCCCGCTTTGTCAGTTTACATTAACTGTTCTCGCTTTGTCACTTTACATCAACTGTTCTCGCTTTGTCAGTTTACATGAACTGTTCCCGCTTTGTCACTTTACATCAACTGTTCCCGCTTTGTCACTTTACATCAACTGTTCTCGCTTTGTCACTTTACATCAACTGTTCCCGCTTTGTCACTTTACATCAACTGTTCCCGCTTTGTCACTTTACATCAACTGTTCTCGCTTTGTCAGTTTACATGAACTGTCCCCGCTTTGTCACTTTACATCAACTGTTCCCGCTTTGTCACTTTACATCAACTGCTCTCGCTTTGTCACTTTACATCAACTGTTCCCGCTTTGTCACTTTACATCAACTGTTCCCGCTTTGTCACTTTACATCAACTGTTCCCGCTTTGTCACTTTACATCAACTGTTCCCGCTTTGTCACTTTACATCAACTGTTCTCGCTTTGTCACTTTACATTAACTGTTCCCGCTTTGTCACTTTACATCAACTGTTGCCGCTTTGCCACTTTACATCAACTGTTGCCGCTTTGTCACTTTACATCAACTGTTGCCGCTTTGCCACTTTAAATCAACTGTCCCCGCTTTGTCACTTTACATCAACTGTTGCCGCTTTGTCACTTTACATCAACTGTTCTCGCTTTGTCACTTTACATCAACTGTTCCCGCTTTGTCACTTTACATCAACTGTTCTCGCTTTGTCACTTTACATCAACTGTTCTCGCTTTGTCACTTTACATCAACTGTTCCCGCTTTGTCACTTTACATTAACTGTTCCCTCTTTGTCACTTTACATCAACTCTTCCCTCTTTGTCACTTTACATCAACTGCTCTCGCTTTGTCAGTTTACATCAACTGTTCCCGCTTTGTCAGTTTACATGAACTGTTCCCGCTTTGTCAGTTTACATCTACTGTTCCCGCTTTGTCAGTTTACATCAACTGTTCTCGCTTTGTCACTTTACATCAACTGTTCGTGCTTTGTCACTTTACATGAACTGTTCGTGCTTTGTCACTTTACATTAACTGTTCCCTCTTTGTCACTTTACATCAACTCTTCCCTCTTTGTCACTTTACATCAACTGCTCTCGCTTTGTCAGTTTACATCAACTGTTCCCGCTTTTTCAGTTTACATGAACTGTTCCCGCTTTGTCGGTTTACATCAACTGTTCCCTCTTTGTCACTTTACATCAACTCTTCCCTCTTTGTCAGTTTACATGAACTGTTCTCGCTTTGTCAGTTTACATGAACTGTTCTCGCTTTGTCAGTTTACATGAACTGTTCTCGCTTTGTCAGTTTACATGAACTGTTCTCGCTTTGTCAGTTTACATGAACTGTTCTCGCTTTGTCAGTTTACATGAACTAGCCCGAAGTTGTCAGTAAATATGATCAGTACCATCTTGCCCTTTCTTTTTGACTTTTAATCACAACGCGCTTTCTCTTGCTTTTTCACATTACGTGATCAGTACCCGCTTTCGGCGCCTTTTGCACTGATAGTGATCAGCTTTCCCCTGGTTTTCTTTAGTTTACGTGATCAACACGCGTATCCCTGCTTTCCCTCTTTTCGTGATGCCGCATTCGGATCCCTTTTCAGTACCCGCTATCCTCTGCTTTTTCAGTTGACATCATCAGTTCCCGCTATACCCTGCTTTTTCAGTTGACATCATCAGTTCCCACTTTCCCTTCCCTTTTCAGTTAATGTGATCAGAACTAGCTTTCATATCCTTTGTTCAGTTTACGTGATCAGTATCGGCTTTTCACTGCTTTTTCGGTTTACATGATCAATATCGTGATCATGATCGTCTGTTTGTTTTAGTTTACATGATAAGTCACCGTGGTGTGAGGGACTTTCTTAGAGCAGGGTTTCTGTTTACAAGGTCAGTCCCTGGTTTGTCAGTTTCATGACAAGTTGCTTTTTTGCTACTTAGATTATCAGTTAACACATGTCAGAAAAAATAACATTGTGAATATGATCAGCCCACCCCTCCCACCCCCCTCCCCCCTTTGTGCGAGCTATGTTTAAGCACTCATCCCCCGATTCTACATTATCCGTTAGAGTGACATCATTCACAAACATTTCGTGATTTGGATTCCACGTATATCCCGCCTTTTGTCAATAGCCACATTACAGACTTGACCGAGTGTACATAATTCTAAGTATGTTTAAATCTATTCACTTTATAAACATTCATGACTTGCCAATAGACATTCAACTAAGTAAGCTGGACATCAAGTACATGTATTATTTTCACAATCAATATCAAAGATGGGTGATCTATAAGTAGATCTAGTTGTGAAATTTAGCCCCATAAAATGTCAATATGTACAATGTCAAATGTCACTTTGTGTCAGTCTCTGAGGTGGAGCGTTCCTTAAGCCACGTTCAGAGAGTCACAATGCACTAGTCCTTTATGAGACAGGGAAACAAACACGATGGTCCCGGGGCAGCGTGTCTCGGGATGATTGTGCCACTGTCACTAAACCTAGTTAGACAATACAACAAGTCTGACTTTTGGGCTTTTCTGACTCCTCTTTCTTTCCCCGGCTGTTGACACTCGGAGGTCGGTTGGACTGGTGGAGGGTATTTTTTATCATACCAACATCTTTCGGTTTAGAGTATGTGTCTCGAGAATCTTGATTCTTTTTGGGACTTTCATCCCGCGATTCCACATATACAACAGTTTTATTCGCTTCATTGTTATTGAGAGTATTAATGATCTTGGCTGTACCATATGTCTCTGCATGTACTGGTGAATTAAAGGTACTCTTGGGAATATCTTCAAAGGAAACTGGTGAGTAGACGGACCTCGTACCGTCTGCACTGTGTGTTTCTTTGTTGATCTTCTTCATTTCATCCTCGAGGTAGGTTGTAAAGGGACACCTGGGACCAGAACCTTCACGCGACGTGTCCCTGCTCAATAGCCAGAAGGACAGGATGGAACCTTTACCCTGGAAACAAACACATTTCGAAATAAACGAACGTGATCTCTAATCACATCTGCATGTTCCAAGTTTCAATGACAATAATGATGATATGATGCGAAAGTGAATGACATTATTTTAGAATGTGAAAGATGCAGTGACTTACCTTCACCTGGATGCTGCCCCTCTCTTCTACCTGGTACGGATACGGCTCCAGCTCCTTCTTCGTTGTCTCGCTGATGTGAATCTTCATTGCCTTGAACAGTCAAGAAAATACTCTTTCACACTTGATATCTTACTAAAATAAATTAAATTGTTATGCCTGAAAACATTGAAAACTGAAGTAAACAATGTTCTACGTATTTTATTGTTACAAACATATAACACGTGCGCGAACAGTTCTCGCAAACGTGTTCAGGAGTTGATTATTGGACCATGTGGCCATGTTAGTTAACGTGTATGCCTGATTCACAAACAGACACATTCTCACCTCTCCACTTGTCTCCATCCTTGATGCTGTGTTGACAGTGTCACCAAACAGACAGTACCTCGGCATCTTGATGCCCACTACCCCGGCTACAGTAGTGCCGGTGTGGATACCTAGAACATACAACTTGATTAACAGACGCTCTTGGGGACCACATGAACCTAAGATATATATCAAATAAAGATTTACTGAAGCACTCGTGCTATCCTCCGCAAAGACAGTTTCGAGACATTCAGGTTCACTTGAACACTGGGTAAAGCAATACCAGTGTATCAATATACCGCGGGTGGCGAACTTCTTTATACAACGTGCCCCATGTGTATACACTTGTCCTCAGAAACATGTTTTCCCGCTAGTGGACATTGAAACCTTTTCTCTGTTGTAAATGCAGTTTTTGCACAGATAACTGTTCTACTAGATTTCTACATTGTCTCAGAAACAATTACCCAATACAATGACAGTTAAGGCATGGTGATAGTGTCTTGCATGGTGATATTGTCTTAATCCTGATTTATTTACTAATGAATATAAACGTAGATCAAGACTTCCGATGTGGCAACTCATGCGGAAACTCATGGTATTTGTTGAGAGGATGTCTATACGTTAAATTGTCCAGGACTGATTTGATGATTCTCTATTGTTAATCATGAAAGATACATGATATGCGACTGGTGACTTACTGCTGATTTGTAATGCAAAGCTTCCTAGCCATGTCAACGAAAACATCTTACTGGGCGTAGGTCAAGAGTGAGAGAGTGAGTGAGTGAGTATGGTTTTACGCCGCTTTTAGTAACATTCCAGTAATTTCATGTCGGAAGACACCAGAAATTGGCTTCACACATTGTACCCATGTGGGGAATCGAACCCGGGTCATCGGCGTGATGAGCCAACGCTTTAACCAGTAGGCTACACCACCGCCTCACATATTTCAAGAAAACAAAACTGTTTGAGTGAGAATTGTTAATAGAGATTACTATACGAGCATGTGTGTCATACTGATCTTACGAAATGATTGTCAGAATTCTTGTATTTCCCGAGCGAGAGAACGCATATCGATTTGGATTCGTGTGACTATATTTTGTTTGGTTTAATAAAGTGTGTGTAAATGTCTCTTGCTTTCATGAGATTGTGGTTGTAAAAGTGAATGACGTCTCGAGATTTTATTTATGAATGAAAACAGAAGTTCCGGTGTGACAGAGGTCACGTTCCTCCAGCCAAAAGGATTAAATCGGGGTCATCCTTGTACGACACAAGTTTAACGTACGGATTTAGTATCTTACACCTGTATCTTCACCACGTGGGTAATACAATATTTTAAAGTCTGTTGGTATGACGCGGCCAGGGATCGACCCACCGACCTTCCGATCTCCGGTCACACACTCTACCCCCATATCGACCTGCAGTGGCAGCGGTTGTAGTTGTGTATTCTGCACTTGTATAAGTCCTACCCAGTCAATGTACTCACCGACCCTGATCTTCATGTTCCCTCCAGTGGATGGGTCCTTCAGGTCCCACATGGAGTCCAGCATCCCTAGGGCCATGTCACAGATCTGCAGTCCGTGGTACTTGGTCACAGTAGGCGCTCCCGACACCACCATGTAGGCGTCGCCGATCGTCTCAACCTGTGGTCATATCAGAGAGCAGACCGCATTCATCTACCATGCTTCCAGCTGAAGCTTCTTTTGTTCAGAGAGAATCAAGTTACGTAATACGCAGAATATATATATATAATATATGGTGCCACATAGGACGGACGTTTACCTGCATTATAACATATATAACAAGTCCAAATAGCAGACCGAGGTGATGATTGAATACATAATGTAAGTATCCATATTTAATTGCAAATAAATGTAAGTGCATGATGTTTAACGTCGAGAAAAGAAACAGATCATGGCGGCATTTCGATATTCGAGTCAAGACGAATAAATGTTATTTAACGCCACATTATTCCAGTTACAATCTCATTAAAATCAGATTTTAGTTCTCTCTGCCACTAAACAAAGATCTGAGGACATCCCATTACGGGTCACGTCAGACCGACCTTGCGCAAACTTTGACCGACTAATGGAATGACTGACAAGAAGTCGACGTTAGCCAATTGCAAGGCAGCTTTCTCGTGCTTCACGGCACTAATATCAAATTGGAGACCTCGCTTCGAAACATATTTTGACAAATTCTCGATTAAAAATTTGAAACCTGAACAAAAGAACATTCTGGTTGGTCTAGATTGTATGGATTCAGTCGTTAAGCCCGTAGCTATCGTTCGGAATACCCCGTGTTAAATTTTCGAGGTTGCATGATCAGAAATCACATTCCGAATGTCACTTTCATGATTGGGTAAGCGGCAGTCATATTGGTCGGATGAAAGGTCGTTCTGACGTGACCCCTAATGGGATGTCCTCAGATCTTTGTTTAGCGGTAGCGAGAACTAAGATCTTATTTCAATGAGATAGTTCCAGTTATATTAGAAAGCTTTTCGAGTCTGCGACTGGAAGCAAGATACACATTATTCGGCCTCAGTCGAGCGTCATGACGCCGAGTCCTTCACAACAAGCGTAGGATACTGGAGGTCACACTCCTCCCGCAAAAACCATGGGGCGAAAAATGTTGGCTTAAAAATAGAAAATAATGATGTTGTAGTGAAAGGTAAGCAAATGCAGATCACTATGAAATATCTTTGTTCGTTTTTTGCTTTTTGCTTTCTGACCGAACACCATGCCCAGGGTTTGAACCTGTACACGAATCACAAAAACTAACATACGGTTTAAACCATCTTGGGCATATAAGTCTGTGTTTGTACCTGTGATGCTTTCAGAAATTACCTTGTAAACCCTGTGTTCTTCACTCAATTTATCAAATTTTGTGTACATGGCGTTGAGCATGGAGACAACCTCCATGGGTGTAATCTGGCTGCAGATGGTGGTGAACCCAACCACGTCGCTGAACAGGATTGTTACATTGTCGAAAACCTGAAATGTGAGCACTTTACTTATTCATGGTCATTTCTTCCGGTCGTTGAGAACAGCAAGTACGTGATAGTTTGGCTCGTCACATATACACTAGGGTATCAGAACACACCTCGTAGTACTGGTTGATAGGGATATCTATCTCTAATACATATCAGGCCATCATCTGCTGTCATATAGATTACCCCATACGATATCATAAGAGCTAACTGAGAACTCACACACGCCCTGACTTAGATGTGGTTTTATACGCACTGAGATCTCAAGGGTACTAAGAGCTCAGATTACACGTGTTGGCTGAGAACACAATTCGCACGTATTGAGCAATATTTTACTGTACAATTTCTAACCGAAACACACTTCACGCGATCCGCAAGCTGTCACCTTGCATGCACTTGTCTGACAACTTACCTCACATGAACTGAGTGAAATGTATTTCACAAGTACTGACCGAGAACTCACCTCACACGTTAAAAAACCTAACCCCGTACGCCCTCACAAATCACTTCCAACATAATAAGATCTCAACTTCCACGAACTGAGAACCCGACTTACATGTACTGAGAACTCATCTCACATGTACTGTTTAGCTCATCTCACACGTGTTGACTGATGCCCATGTTGTGTGTCCTGCCAGATGGCGGTAATATATAGTGTTCTTTTCCTTGTCTAATAAAGCAGTTTTAGTGTAGCAGATTGTGCGGGTGAAGGTGTTACCTGATCTAGAGCCAGCTTGAGCTCTGCGGACTGTTGTGTCCCGCCATGTGAGATCATTCCTGCACAAAGACCTTACAGTACTTTTAGAAGAGTAGAACATGTAATAGCAATGGTTAAACTGTATCATATGTTATTGCATATACTGGCTACATATCAACTTGGGTAATGACACAAGCGGAAATGGTTGCAAACTGTGAAAAACTGACATTGTCGATATGGCCGGCCATGCATAAAATCGTGTCGAAAATCTGTAATCACGCCAATTCATTCATACATGTACTGAGAACTCATCTCACATTAACTGAGATCTCACCTTACATGTACTGAGTGAGAACTCACCTCACACGTGTTGACTGATGGCTCACCCTTCCTCAGTCTGTCAGCAACAGGTTTCGGTATCATTTGGTACAGCAATGCATCTGTTCTCTTCATCTCAGCATCTAACTTCAGCATGCTCTCCTCCAAGAGCCGGCTCTTCTCTTGTTCCTGAATTCAAAACATCGACGATACTTTCACAGTCAGACTCTAAACGGTAAACAGAAACAATCTCAAATGAAACCCACAACTTTATTTTGATGCCCATGTTGTGTGTCCTGCCAGATGGCGGTAATATATAGTGTTCTTTTCCTTGTCTAATAAAGCAGTTTTAGTGTAGCAGATTGTGCGGGTGAAGGTGTTACCTGATCAAGAGCCAGCTTGAGCTCTGCGGACTGTTGTGTCCCCGCCAGTACTAGGTCCCTGCTGGAGTCGTGCATGCTGAGATCATTGATGTACAGACCAACGTTAAACATATCGTCCAGACTGTCCATGCTGTAACATAACGATCAGGGCATCATAGCGGTAACATTGTGCGAAAGCGTACCTGCAGAAATGTGAAGTCATGACAATAATAGTCACATAGAGTTTAACAACACAGTTTCTTAATGTCATAGTGTGTGAGGAAACATTCTTAGACGTAAGACGTAACTGTGACTATAAAGTCGCACTATATACACAACTGCTTTGTACTAAGGCACTGTTGTCACTGTCCGTTCCACATGTCTTCTCTCTGCAAAGTATGTACAATGTATGTGGTGTGGCGTGGCGTGGCGTGGCTTGGCAAGGCGTGGTGTGGTGTGGTGTGGTGTGGTGTGGTGGGGTGCTAGTCATATCCTAAATATTGAAGTTATTCATCCAGCCCGGATCGGAATTCTGTAAACACTGTTTATAGACCATATTTGGGATCATTCCTGCACAAAGACCTTACAGTACTTTTAGAAGAGTAGAACATGTAATAGCACTGGTTAAACTGGGGTACGTGAAGGTCAACGGTCGCACAAAACGTATCATATGTTATTGCATATACTGGCTACATATCAACTTGGGTAATGACACAAGCGGAAATGGTTGCAAACGGGGAAAAACTGACATTGTCGATATGGCCGGCCATGCATAAAATCGTGTCAAAAATCTGTTATCACGCCAATCCATTCATACAAAGTTTCAGCTTCATAGGCCCGGTAGTTTCAGAGGATATGTCGAACAAGCAAATGTATTTATAATGTTCATGACGGACGACGGACGACGCACCACGAAACAAGCTCACTTCAGCCAGGGGAGCTCAATGACTGGTAATTAGACATTGTGTGTTACAGACAGACAGACAGACAGACAGACAGACAGCCGACATGACTGACAATATGTACACTGGGACTGTACAAGACGCGGGACTAAGTTGCTGATCGCCAGCCCTGACACAAAATTGAAGTAACTGCGGAATGAAGGCTTACATAGGTGTGCCCAGGAACATGATGCAATCCCATTCACACATGTACATCATCTGGCCCTTCAGGTGGAGACAGTGGGAATCCTCGTCCAAAGACTTCTGGTCTGAAAGAGAGGCAGTGTATTGATGATATATTAACAGATAATAATGAGTAATTAAGTAATTAGGGACCGACCATTTGATGTTTTGGGGGAAGATATTTCAAGATATTTTAAAAAAAACACATTTCAACGATATCATTTTTGTGGCCTACAATCTGTTTCGAAACGCATCATGAGTAGATGAGGACATTGTTTACTCCAAGGTGTATTTGTACATTTTGCGGTTCCATTTCTTTACCTAAATCTTTCTTCTCATCTTCGGTGATAATGGAGCTATCGTCTGCGCTGTCGAAGTTGCTGCCTTGTGTTCGTCTTCTCACAGATTTGAGGGAAATCAGCTCAAATACGTTGTTCGTGTGCGCCATGATCTATAACAAAATCTGACTTTGGTATTCACGTTTCAGTGAGCGAGTAATTCATGACGTTCTGTATACTAGTATGTCATGTTGGCGGTTGAAAAATTCAAGGAAAAACATAAGAAGTAAAACCTAAAGATCCACATGAGAAAGCGGTACGAATTGTAATGTTTTCTTCCGTTTTTTTGCGCATATAGTCCCGCTAAAGCGACGTCGCGCAGGGGCGGATTTAGAAGGAGGTGCGGTGCGCACCCACCCCCCTCCTCTAAACATGAATGAGTAAATGGAGCACTTTATTAATTTGAAATCAAACAGATGTTTTAATCCTACTTTGTTTGAAAACTACGTAAAAGAGGATAAGAACAGTGTCCGTCGGAATACTGATCTACGCACAACCCTTACCAGACCTAACTTTAACAGTGGAACCTTCACTTGTTGTTGCCCTGAGTACTTTGTTAGCAGCAATATCATGATGGCAGTAGATGAACTTTCAAGACATGGTAAGAACTTGCACAAGGCACACGTGAGTGCAGCCACGTGTGACTGGCAACAACTCACTACAACCCTCAGCCCTAAGGTATCAACGTAGCAATGTCAAAGAGAACCATCCACTGGTGTCATAAAGTATATATGCCAGCCAAATATTACTACGTTTGGTTCATTATGGCATTCAAAACAAAAATGGGATTCATAATAAATCAAGTCATGATTAATTGTGGTTTCAATAAAATCTCTGTTTGTTTATAATGATGTAACTTAGGGATAGTCCAACAATGGACCAAACATGTATAATATAGACTACCAGTGTAAATAATCCCCTTTCTCAAACATTCACAAAGAGTTATGTACAAAACACCAAAGGTTCTCAGATGTTGCCAAGGATGTGACAAGATACTTTTGAAAGTTACTTCTTTCGGGCCTCAAAGTTTTAAATGGCCGATATTTCAAAATGATGTGATTGTGGTTTGGATCTAAATGGCGTCATGGTATATATTTGTGACCTAAATTCTGCACAGGAGCATGGTTTTGGTCAGTTTGTGTAACATACGATGCTGGGACAGTGTAAGTAAAGAGACGTCTCTAATACTGTACCGGGCCGTATATTACAACTGTCTAATAACGAGTTCCTCTGCACTCCTTGCATCAAGCTTTTTTAAGAGTTGACGTACAACGGTAAATGGAAAAAAAATCTTAAACCACAATCCATGTACTCTTCTGGAAAAGCTGTGGATTTTGTTGGATTTTTTATGAAAATGTGCACCCCCTCTCCCAGCAAAAAAACTGTATCCGCTCCTGTCGCGGCGGGACACACCTCGGGCTTCACTGGGGATCAGTTGAATATGACATACACTGTACATTGTACACTACCAACACACTGTACACTGTACACTACCGACACACTGTACACTATTCACTGTACACTATACATTATACACTACCAATACACACTATACACTATACACAGTACACTACACACTACAGACTCAACACAACACACAATACACTATACACTATACACTGCAATGCCTTCATTTAGCGTCAAACATACATGTTTACCACTTCATTGCTAGCACTCTATATACAAGGATCAGCATTGCACCAGACATTGTACAGTCAACACCTGCCAAAGGCACATACACTATCGACTCAACCGTACTTGATACAAGGATCAGCATTGCACCAGACATTGTACAGTCAACACCTGTCAAAGTCACATACACTATCGGCTCACCCGTTCCATATACAAGGATCAACATTACACCAGACATTGCACAGTCAACACCTGCCAAAGGCACATACACTATCGACTCAACTGTACCATATACAAGGATCAGCATTGCACCAGACATTGCACAGTCAACACCTGCCAAAGGCACATACACTATCGACTCAACCACACTTGATACAAAGGGTAAGCATTGCACCAGACATTGTACAGTCAACACCTGCCAAAGGCACATACACTATCGACACAACCACACTTGATACAAGGGTAAGCATTGCACCAGACATTGCACAGTCAACACCTGCCAAAGGCACATACACTATCGACTCAACCGTACTTGATACAAGGATCAACATTGCACCAGACATTGTACAGTCAACACCTGCACAAGGCACATACACTATCGACTCAACCGTACTTGATACAAGGATCAGCATTGCACCAGACATTGTACAGTCAACGCCTGCCAAAGGCACATACACTATCGACTCAACCACACTTGATACAAGGGTAAGCATTGCACCAGACATTGCACAGTCAACACCTGCCAAAGGCACATACGCTATCGACTCAACCGTACTTGATACAAGGGTAAGCATTGCACCAGGCATTGTACAGTCAAAATCTGCCAAAGGCACATACACTATCGACTCAAACGTACCATATACAAGGATCAGCATTGCACCAGACATTGCACAGTCAACACCTGCCAAAGGCACATACACTATCGACTCAACCGTACCATATACAAGGATCAGCATTGCACCAGACATTGTACAGTCAACACCTGCCAAAGGCACATACACTATCGACTCAACCGTACTTGATACAAGGGTAAGCATTGCACCAGACATTGTACAGTCAACACTTGCCAAAGGCACATACACTATCGACTCAACCGTACTTGATACAAGGATCAGCATTGCACCAGACATTGTACAGTCAACACCTGCCAAAGGCACATACACTATCGATTCAACCGTACTTGATACAAGGATCAACATAGCACCAGAGATTGTACAGTCACCACCTGCCAAAGGCACATACACTATCGACTCAACTGTACCATATACAAGGATCAGCATTGCACCAGACATTGTACAGTCAACACATGCCAAAGGCACATACACTATCGACTCAACCGTACCATATACAAGGATCACCATTGCACCAGACATTGTACAGTCAACACCTGCCAAAGGCAACTGTACAACACCTGCCAAAGGCACATACACTATCGACTCAACCACACTTGATACAAGCGTAAGCATTGCACCAGGCATTGTACAGTCAAAATCTGCGAAAGACACATACACTATCGACTCAACCGTACCATATACAAGGATCAGCATTGCACCAGACAGTGTACAGTCAACACTTGCCAAAGGCACATACACTATCGACTCAACCGTACTAGTTACAAGGATCAGCATTGCACCAGACATTGTACAGTCAACACCTGCCAAAGGCAAATACACTATCGACTCAACCGTACTTGATACAAGGATCAGCATTGCACGAGACATTGTACAGTCAACACCTGCCAAAGGCACATATACTATCGACTCAACCGTACTTGATACAAGGATCAGCATTGCACCAGACATTGTACAGTCAACACCTGCCAAAGGCACATACACTATCGACTCAACCGTACTTGATACAAGGATCAGCATTGCACCAGACATTGTAAAGTCAACGCCTGCCAAAGGCACATACACTATCGACTCAACCGTACTTGATACAAGGATCAGCATTGCACCAGACATTGCACAGTCAACACCTGCCAAAGGCACATACTATCAGCTCAACCGTACTTGATACAAGAATCACCATTGCACCAGACATTGTACAGTCAACACCTGCCAAAGGCACATACACTATCGGCTCAACCGTACCATATACAATGATCAACATTGCACCAGACATTGTACAGTCAAACCTGCCAAAGGCACATACACTATCGACTCAACCGTACCATATACAAGGATCAACATAGCACCAGACATTGTACAGTCAACACCTGCCAAAGGCACATACACTATCGGCTCAACCGTACCATATACAATGATCAACATTGCACCAGACATTGTACAGTCAAACCTGCCAAAGGCACATACACTATCGACTCAACCGTACCATATACAAGGATCAACATTGCACCAGACACTGTACAGTCAACACCTGCCAAAGGCACATACACTATCGACTCAACCGTACCATATACAAGGATCAACATTGCACCAGACACTGCACAGTCAACACCTGCCAAAGGCACATACACTATCGACTCGACCGTACTTGATACAAGGATCAGCATTACACCATACATTGTACAGTCAACACCTGCCAAAGGCACATACACTATCGACTCAACCACACTTGATACAAGGGTAATCATTGCACCAGACATTGTACAGTCAACACCTGCCAAAGGCACATACACGATCGGCTCAACCGTACTTGATACAAGGATCAGCATTGCACCAGACATTGAACAGTCAACACCTGCCAAAGGCACAGACACTATCGGCTCAACCGTACCATTCACAATGATAAACATTGCACCAGACATTGTACAGTCAAACCTGCCAAAGGCACATACACTATCGGCTCAACCGTACCATATACAATGATAAACATTGCACCAGACATTGTACAGTCAAACCTGCCAAAGGCACATACACTATCGACTCAACCGTACCATATACAAGGATCAACATTGCACCAGACATTGTACAGTCAACACCTGCCAAAGGCACATACACTATCGATTCAACCGTACTTGATACAAGGATCACCATTGCACCAGACATTGTACAGTCAACACCTGCCAAAGGCAACTGTACAACACCTGCCAAAGGCACATACACTATCGACTCAACCACACTTGATACAAGGGTAAGCATTGCACCAGGCATTGTACAGTCAAAATCTGCGAAAGACACATACACTATCGACTCAACCGTACTTGATACAAGGATCAGCATTGCACCAGACATTGTACAGTCAACACCTGCCAAAGGCACATATGCTATCGACTCAACCGTACTTGATACAAGGATCAGCATTGCACCAGACATTGTACAGTCAACACCTGCCAAAGGCACATACACTATCGACTCAACCGTACTTGATACAAGGATCAGCATTGCACCAGACATTGTACAGTCAACGCCTGCCAAAGGCACATACACTATCGCCTCAACCGTACTTGGTACAAGGGTCAGCATTGCAGCTGACATTGTACAGTCAACACCTGCCAAAGGCACACTCTATCGGTTCAACCGTACTTGATACAAGGGTCCGCATTGCACCAGACATTGTACAGTCAACACCTGCCAAAGGCACACTATCGGCTCAACCGTACTTGATACAAGGGTCAGCATTTCACCAGACAGTGTACAGTCAACACCTGCCAAAGGCACACACTATAGGTTCAACTGTACTTGATACAAGGGTCAGCATTGCACCAGACATTGTACAGTCAACACCTGCCAAAGGCACACACTATCGGCTCAACCGTTCTTGATACAAGGGTCAGCATTGCACCAGACATTGTACAGTCAACACCTGCGAAAGGCACACACTATCGACTGAACCGTACTTGATACAAGGGTCAGCAAATCCCACGTTTCCCTGCCAGACGCATTTCTCAGCATTGCACCAGACATTGTACAGTCAACACCTGCCAAAGGCACATACACTATTGGCTCAACCGTTCTTGATACAAGGATCAGCATTGCACCAGACATTGTACAGTCAACACCTGCCAAAGGCACACACTATCGGTTCAACCGTACTTGATACAAGGGTCAGCATTGCACCAGACATTGTACAGTCAACACCTGCCAAAGGCACACACTATAGGTTCAACCGTACTTGATACAAGGGTCAGCATTGCACCAGACATTGTACAGTCAACACCTGCCAAAGGCACATACACTATCGGCTCAACCGTACTTGGTACAAGGGTCAGCATTGCACCAGACATTGTACAGTCAACACCTGCCAAAGGCACACTCTATCGGTTCAACCGTACTTGATACAAGGGTCCGCATTGCACCAGACATTGTACAGTCAACACCTGCCAAAGGCACACTATCGGCTCAACCGTACTTGATACAAGGGTCAGCATTTCACCAGACAGTGTACAGTCAACACCTGCCAAAGGCACACACTATAGGTTCAACTGTACTTGATAGAAGGGTCAGCATTGCACCAGACATTGTACAGTCAACACCTGCCAAAGGCACACACTATCGGCTCAACCGTTCTTGATACAAGGGTCAGCATTGCACCAGACATTGTACAGTCAACACCTGCGAAAGTCACACACTATCGACTGAACCGTACTTGATACAAGGGTCAGCAAATCCCACGTTTCCCTGCCTGACGCATTTCTCAGCATTGCACCAGACATTGTACAGTCAACACCTGCCAAAAGCACACACTATTGGCTCAACCGTTCTTGATACAAGGATCAGCATTGCACCAGACATTGTACAGTCAACACCTGCCAAAGGCACACACTATCGGATCAACCGTACTTGATACAAGGGTCAGCATTGCACCAGACATTGCACAGTCAACACCTGCCAAAGGCACATACACTATCGACTCAACCACACTTGATACAAGGGTAAGCATTGCACGAGACATTGCACAGTCAACGCCTGCCAAAGGCACATACGCTATCGACTCAACCGTACTTGATACAAGGGTAAGCATTGCACCAGGCATTGTACAGTCAAAATCTGCCAAAGGCACACACTATCGGTTCAACCGTACCATATACAAGGATCAACATAGCACCAGACATTGTACAGACAACACCTGCCAAAGGCACACACTATCGGCTCAACCGTACTTGATACAAGGGTCAGCAAATCCCACGTTTCCCTGCCTGACGCATTTCTCATGTTAATAGTTGAATGGCAAGCAAAGGTATTTAAAGTAATCTTATAATCTCTCACTGGCCGATAATTGAGCTACAATGCAAGTCGAGGTGTCGGTTACATCATTACTAGCGAATGTAATTGTCCCATCAAATAGAAAGTGTGACATCTTATTGGAAATCGATTCATGTAATCCCCTACTAGATACGTTACTTTAGGGTTCCATTTGTTGTTATGTTTCAGAGTTAGGTGTAATAAAGGCACCTAACTGATTTTATATGCCGTTTATCTCTAGAACCTACAGATGTACAATGCTGAGTTTCGCTCCATAACTACATGACGAGGCTGAACGGTGAAGGCACATATTGCTTGTATATTGTCTGTCACCATGGAGAAAAACTGTTTATTGCCTCATTTGTTGTCGGAAACTCTCAATTTGATGACCATTTGTTCCGTAATGTCTAAATGTAGATTCAGTCGAACTCATCAACCATATATGAGTGCCGAAGGTTTAGCTGTGTCTGTGAGGGTTAGCCAAGCACATCAGCCGACATGTGAAATTTTGTGGAACCAATAATTATTACAACGTTAGGTATTCATAGCAGGGTGGGTATACATATCAGGGTGAGGTATAAATATCTAGGTGAGGTATACATATCTAGGTAAGGTATACATATCTAGGTGAGGTATACATATCTAGGTGAAATATACATATCTAGGTGAGGTATACATATCTATGCGAGGTATACATATCTAGGTTAGGTATACATATCTAGACGAGGTATGAAAAGAACAAGGGGTGGGGTATACTTATCTGGGTGAGGTATACATATCAGAGTGAGGTATACATATCTAGGTGAGGTATACATATCTAGGTTAGGTATACATATCTAGGTGAGGTATACATATCTAGGTTAGGTATACATACCTAGACGAGGCATGAAAAGAACAAGGGGTGGGGAATACTTTTCTGGGTGAGGTATACATATCTAGGTCAGATATACATATCTAGGTGAGGTATATATATCAAGGTCAGGTATCCAGATCTTGGTGAGGTATACATATCTAGCTGAGGTATACATATCTAGGTGAGATATACATGTCTAGGTGAGGTATACATATCTAGGTGAGATATACATGTCTAGGTGAGGTATACATATCTAGGTGAGGTATACATATCTAGGTGAGATATACATGTCTAGGTGAGGTATACATATCTAGGTGAGATATACATGTCTAGGCTAGGTACACGGATCAGTGTGAGGTATACATATCTAGGTGAGATATACATATCTAGGTGAAATATACATATCTAGGTGAGATATACATATCTAGGTGAAATATACATATCTAGGTGAGGTATACATATCTAGGCGAGGTATTCATATCTAGGTGAGATATATATGTCTAGGTTAGGTACACGTATCAGTGTGATTTATACAGATAAACATATTTAGGTCAGGTATCCAGATCTTGGTGAGATTTACACAAGCAGGGGGAGATATACATAACATGGTGAGGTATACATATCTAGGTGAGGTATACATATCTAGGTGAGGTATACATATCTAGGTGAGGTATCCAAATCTTGGTGAGGTATACATATCAGGGTGAGGTATACATTTCTAGGTGAGGTATACAAATCTAGGTGAGGTATACATGTCTAGGTGAGGTATACATATCTAGGTGTGGTATCAGATGAAGGTCAGCTATCCAGATCTTCGTGAGGTATACATATCTAGGTGAGATATACATATCTAGGTGAAATATACATATCTAGGTGAGGTATACATATTTAGGTGAGAGATATATGTCTAGGTTAGGTACACGTATCAGTGTGATTTATACAGATAAAAATATTTAAGTCAGGTATCCAGATCTTGGTGAGATATACACAAGCAGGGGGAGATATACATAACATGGTGAGGTATACATATCTAGGTGAGGTATACATATCTAGGTGAGATATATAATCAAGGTGAGATATACATATCTACATGAGGTATACATATCTAGGCGAGGTATACATATCTAGGTGAGATATACATGTCTAGGTTAGGTATACATATCTAGGCGAGGTATACATATCTAGGTGAGATATACATATCTAGGTTAGGTATACATATCTAGGTGAGGTATACATATCTAGGTGAGGTATACATATCTAGGCGAGGTATACATATCTAGGTGAGATATACATGTCTAGGTGAGATATACATATCTAGGTGAGATATACATATCTAGGTGAGATATACATATCTAGGTGAGATATACATGTCTAGGTTTTGTACGCGTATCAGTGTGATTTATACAGATATACATATCAAGGTCAGGTATCCAGCTCTTGATAAGGTATACACAAGCAGGGTGCGGTATACATAACATGGTGAGGTATACATATCTAGGTGAGGTATACATATCTAGGTGAGGTTTACATATCACAGTGAGGTATATATGTATCTAGGTGAGGTTTAGATATGTAGGTGGGGTATACATATCAGGGTGAGGTATACATGTCTAGGTGAAGTATACATATCTAGGTAAGGTATACACAGCAGGGTGAGGTATATTTATCAAGGTAAGGCATACATATCAGAGTGAGGTATACAGCAGGGTGAGATATACATATCAGGTTGAGTTATAGATATTTATGTGAGGTATGCACAGCAGAGTGAGCTATACATATCTAGGTGAGGAAAACATATCAAGGTAAGGGATACATATCAGGGTGAGGTTTACACAGCATGATGAGATATACATATCACAGTGAGGTATACACACCTATGTGTGGTTTACATTGTTTTGAAGAACTGAAAGTGTTTTTGATTCGGTAAGAGTGATAACGATCTGATAACACAAACAACCGACAGTGTTATGACAATAATTTAGAGATTGAGAAACATTATTTCCTATGCATTCGTATGGTCATTAAGTATAACGGTACTTACGCTTTGCCACGTGAAGTCCACTAGTGGCCGCCGAAGACCAAAGACTGCAGTCAGGCACTTCCCGACCACTACTCTCATGACCGCTCCTAGGCCAGATCCAGTACTACGAATACCCATGTTACGCCCGAACACAATGTTGAAGGGGAACAGTTCAAACAGAACTTCAGATCGTAGCGGGATGTTGTCCACGAGGTTGTCATCTGTAGATTTTAGCAACTCACGATATGCAGTGTTGTCAAAGATGAGTCTAAAAATAACATGTACTCTGTTATGTACAATTTCTTCCGATATAACATATATTTCCACCTTTGTGTTGTAGAATACCTTCCCCACCTGCCTGATCTGCCCCTTCACGTAGTGCAAGAAGCCCTTCCTCCTGCTGCGGTAGTGAAGGGTCAGGCCAGACTTGTTCTCGTTCTCACAGAAGAAGGACGGGGGCTTCAGTTTAGAGTAACTGAATCTCAAATACTCGTGTAGATTATCTAAGCCGTTTAGAAAATCTCTCATATGTCGTCCTAGTACTTTAAGAATCCTGTCATAGCCATACTGGCCCACGAAGGACACAAAAGTAACACCAAACGAATCCATGAGAGAATCTACCGATTCACCAGTGATTTCTGAAGCGATACGGGCTATATTTGGGATTAGGTTTTCACTATAGATGTCGTGTGTGGCGAAACTAGAATGGGTGAAGTCCCCCCTGTGCCTGATCTCCGTCCACACAGCCTCGCCGTACTCCTGACGCAGGAACTCCACAATAGACTCCAGCAACAACCCGTACATGATGGGGTAGGAGCGTCACACCACCAGAGGGGCCTTGGTCGAGGAGTTCTTTAGGCGTGAACAAGATCAACTATTGGTTCAGCAGTTGGTCCCTGTCGGTGTGATTGTGTTGAAGTCTTCAACTGGGGCACATAACTTTGCTTGATTGATACAAGCTTGGCTCGACGTGATTATGTCGCTAACATTGATTTGCTCTTTTGATTTCCGTGAAGTGAGAAGGGCCCTAAGATATCGATTGCAGCAGCTGTCCTCTAGAGACTCCTGAAAAAGAGAATTGGTCATCTGAGTGTGCAATACTGTGACCCTACATTGACTTACATCAGCCAGATATCGCACATGTTGTGGTAACCCAGTGATATGATTTAATCTGTGCTACGTTTAACCACACAACTGAAATGTCGGTTACTTCCTGTTACCATAAACATTCGCTATAAAAAAGATAAATCAAACAGGTATCAATATCAAATGATGTAATATTTTACATGACCCATATCCTGGCGTGCATGGATACTGTGCCCAGAAATGTCAGGACAGACTGCACGGTCACATTGACTGCCTCACAACATTCAACTGATGACGTCTGGAAGTAAATCACATTTTCGAAAGTATATTTTTATACCTGTACTTGTTCTCATGTTATAAGCAATTTTAAAAGGACCTTGATCTCGTAAAGATCCGGGTTAGAAGTGGTCTTCAGCAACCAATACTTGTCTTAGGAGGCAACGAACGGGATCGGGTGGTCAGGCTCGCTGACTGGCTTGATGCATGTCATCGTATCCCAGTTGCGTAGATCGATGCTCATGATGTCAAGCACTGGATTATGTCTAGTGCAGACTCGATCATTTACGGACCGACGTCGTGTAGCTGGATTATTGCTGAGTACGCCGGTAAACAACAAACAAACAAATCAAAGGGACCTTGTCCGCGTGTCACGCTGAGGGATGAAGCAGATGTAAAATATCGGCCTCTAGCCGATAACCGAAGACGAAACTTCGTCAAAACAATAATTATTGATACCCTTCATCCCTGGTCAAATGTGAACCAACAGATTGGGTTAAGTGTACTGCATGGTACTGCACAGTAAGCAGATGTTGATGACATTTCAATTGAGAATGGCAGATACAACACCTTATTTACTTACGTTCTTCTTGGTGTTCGGTAGATATGGAACATGTGTTCTGAAATATATGGCACAGTGTAAATTGCAGTGGGATAACATAGTGTTAATGAATCAACAGCTCGTTGTGTGGAGTACAAACACTGACCTGTGACTGTGTGGGTGTATCAACAACTCGCTGTGTGGAGTACATACACTGACCTGTGACTGTGTGGGTGTATCAACAGCTCGCTGTATAGAGTACATACACTGACCTGTGACTGTGTGGGTGTATCAACAGCACGCTGTATAGAGTACATACACTGACCTGTGACTGTGTGGGTGTATCAACAGCACGCTGTATAGAGTACATACACTGACCTGTGACTGTGTTGGTGTATCAACAGCACGCTGTATAGAGTTCATGTAATGACCTGTGACTGTGTTGGTGTATCAACAGCACGCTGTATAGAGTACATGTAATGACCTGTGACTGTGTGGGTGTATCAACAGCACGCTGTATAGAGTACATACACTGACCTGTAAATGTGTTGGTGTATCAACAGCACGCTGTATAGAGTACATGTAATGACCTGTGACTGTGTTGGTGTATCAACAGCACGCTGTATAGAGTACATACACTGACCTGTGACTGTGCGGATGTATCAACAGCACGCTGTATAGAGTACATACACTGACCTGTAAATGTGTTGGTGTATCAACAGCACGCTGTATAGAGTACATGTAATGACCTGTGACTGTGTAGGTGTATCAACAGCACGCTGTATAGAGTACATACACTGACCTGTAAATGTGTTGGTGTATCAACAGCACGCTGTATAGAGTACATGTAATGACCTGTGACTGTGTTGGTGTATCAACAGCACGCTGTGTGGAGTACAAACACTGACCTGTGACTGTGCGGATGTATCAACAGCACGCTGTGTGGAGTACATACACTGACCTGTGACTGTGCGGATGTATCAACAGCACGCTGTGTGGAGTACATACACTGACCTGTGACTGTGTGGGTGTATCAACAGCACGCTGTATAGAGTACATACACTGACCTGTGACTGTGCGGATGTATCAACAGCACGCTGTGTGGAGTACATACACTGACCTGTGACTGTGCGGATGTATCAACAGCACGCTGTGTGGAGTACATACACTGACCTGTGACTGTGTGGGTGTATCAACAGCACGCTGTATAGTGTACATACACTGACCTGTGACTGTGTTGGTGTATCAACGGCACGCTGTATAGAGTACTGTATATTGACACAAATACAACATGAGTGAACTCTTCACTGACCTTATACAAGGCAACAGCAAACCTGTCTGACACAACAAATACAACATGAGTGAACTCTTCACTGACCTTATACAAGGCAACAGCAAACCTGTCTGACACAACAAATACAACATGAGTGAACTCTTCACTGACCTTATACAAGGCAACAGCAAACCTGTCTGACACAACAAATACAACATGAGTGAACTCTTCACTGGCCATTACAAGGCAACAGCAAACCTGTCTGACACAACAAATACAACTTGAGCGAACTCTTCTCTGACCATATACAAGGCAACAGCTGCAGCAAACCTGTCTGACACAACAAATACAACATGAGTGAACTCTTCACTGACCATATACAAGGCAACAGCTGCAGCAAACCTGTCTGACACAACACATACAACATGAGTGAACTCTTCACTGACCTTATACAAGGCAACAGCAAACCTGTCTGACACAACAAATACAACATGAGTGAACTCTTCACTGACCTTATACAAGGCAACAGCAAACCTGTCTGACACAACAAATACAACTTGAGTGAACTCTTCTCTGACCATATACAAGGCAACAGCTGCAGCAAACCTGTCTGACACAACAAATACAACATGAGTGAACTCTTCACTGACCATATACAAGGCAACAGCTGCAGCAAACCTGTCTGACACAACACATACAACATGAGTGAACTCTTCACTGACCATATACAAGGCAACAGCAAACCTGTCTGACACAACAAATACAACATGAGTGAACTCTTCACTGACCTTATACAAGGCAACAGCAAACCTGTCTGACACAACAATGGTTGTGAGGACATGGTCGCAAGGACACTGTCATTATAGAGCTGACCTCATCCTCCAACACAGGGGAACGGGTCTCTATGTGATTTAATTAACTCATATTAGAGCAATACAGGTAGAACAAGTTCACCTGGGGATCTACTAAAAAATGTATGAGTGAACATTTAAGAAAGCACATGTTTTGTCGATATACACAACAAACCGAGAGTGCGGTATTGATCGCCATCTAGCGTGAGACCAGGGCACTCCTGGTCGCGACTCTGATCCTCACATCCGGGCCTCACCAGCTCTCTCTCCCAGCCCTCTGTGACAGCCGGCCATATCCGGGCCAGAAGGACGGAAATATCCGAAAGTAATTTACTTTGACGATGATTGCAGCATTAGGACCAGGCTAAACTTTAACTGGCAACGTTATCAACATGGGCGTTGTTCAATAGACAACGTTATGTGTAGGTAATGACACGTGACGTCTTCCTATAATAATCGTCAACGTCGGGTCTGCCCACGGCGTTTATACCACTTTAACGTCAATCGCTAACATAACCAGGCACTCCAGCGTCTTTATTACCATCAAGAATTATTCACATCACTTTAGCCATCGCGGAACAAGAAACAGAATGAACAAGTGATTCGTCTCACGCGATATCAAGTTACTTCACTAATAATGTCCACGACTGTTGGAAAAAGTCGATTATTGAGATTATCATTCCTAAATTATCTCCGATGTCTGATCTGTCGTGGAGATTGTAATGACCAGTATCAATAGCAACTATGAGGAATATCTTGGCCATTAGAGCTCTGCGTCAGGCAGATGATTACAGGATCTTACAGGACAGTGCAAATCTATATCGGATTATAGCAAAGCAGCTACCTCCAGTGTCCAGTGGGGAAGCATTGTAACACATAGCATCCCATCTCCCATCGGTCAGGTTCTTCAGGTGGAGGAGACATTGGTTACCTCAATGCATATACTTAAACTACTGTTGGACAAGGTTCATCGTGAGGGCGAGTGAACACTCTTGTCCGGTATCGTTATTCATTGAGGGAAAACCGACTTGATTTCATTCATGCTTGATACAAACATCATGTCCTAAATCAGTTAGTTCCCCGACTGAGAGACTACATAAAGAGTTAGAGACTGACCGTCTGTGTATATATATATATATATGACGTTAGAGGGATCCGTGACTGACCGACTGTATATATATATGACGTTAGAGGGATCCGTGACTGACCGACTGATTATATATATATGACGTTAGAGGGATCCGTCACTGGCCGAATGTGTAGAGGGTGTTACGTCTTTTACTCTATGTAATGCTAGCGTTTCAATTTTATCACTACATTTACTCCCCGTGATTTACCCTTCATCCAAGTAACACAAGACCTATGTCTACGAATGAATATCAGCAGGTATTTGCAAATAAATACAAATTAACGTAAATGTTGGACATTATTTTCCGAGCCCATTCCCTGATCAGCCCACACAGCCCATTAGACTTGTGTCCTACCGTACCCAATATCCGGACTCTACTCGATGTTGCATGATGAGGCGAACAACAGATGGCAGGACGCACTCGGCCGTGAACCAGCTGCAGCACAATGAATACAGACCAATCACAATCGTCTTGCAGGGAGCGACTCACGAACATAGACGTGACAGCCTGCTTGGGAGGATGTTATGTAATCACGTTAAGATGCTCCCTTGCATGGATCATATACTCTGGGGTTTCCCTCCACTGTCAGTCAGGTATATTTCGGGACTAGTTTCCTGTAGTTCCTAGGGATATTAGGGCTTAATGTTTCACAAAATAGAGCGGCCATGTTTTAGTTTTTGTTGTAGCTATGTGCAACACATTATGTGAAAATAATGTACAGTAGATTAGGAGCAATGTGGTTATAAGTTTCATTGCCAACGGACGGACGGTCAAAGGCTCATAACATAAGTTCACACTGACGATGAAAGCTATGCTAAAAAGGCTAAAGTCGTATTTTGCATGAGATCGAGGTATCACTCATGTAGTCTATCAGTTTCTGTCTCCTGCGATCGGTTAAGACTTGCTGGCAATGTTTTGTGTGAAGCCTCAAAACAATCGCCTTCATTCATTGCACATGTGGTATTTGGGAATAACGCCAGAGCCCATGCCTTATCGAAGCAAACCACGTATTGCATATTTAATGATTTCAGGCAGAGACCATATAATAGTATGGTCTCTGTTTCAGGTTACAGATAATATATTGATATCTTCATGACATGGTTGAGTGTGTACGAGTTATACAGCAGTGTGTTACGTTTGTGTGGGTCGTTGACGTTAATTACATGTTCTTAGGTGAATCCTCGATCAAGGAGATGGTGCCGACAAAGCAATGATCACAATCGTTCTCATAACTTAAATATACACTGAGGTGGCCAGACACTCATTACTTCAGTTATGTTGTAGTGGAAGACGTTATTAATCACACGTACAAGCTTTAGTAGTTACATCGCGGTACAGCGCGTGTACGTTTCACATTGTTTCATGATCGTTCATACATACGACTGCCCTAGCTACGTACACAATATCGCGGAGATCATTGACACTCGTGACCTTCATATTACACTTGATTACATTGAAGATAACCTGTAAACAATCCTTAGCTGCCGTTCTTTGAAAGGCGATCCCATCCAAGCAATCCCGTTGATCAACCGACAAAGGCGATGTCACGGTGCCCAGGCAGGCTGCTCACCCCCGGGCTGTCAGCCTCCAGACACACGTCTGTGTACTCAAACGACTATAAATATAAAATCAGCTGTTTCTGGAATCATCCGATAAATGGATGCATTCATACCAAGAAATTTTATCTTGATAAGTTGACAGAGGGGCGTCTTGGATGGTATCGAGGCGGCTACAGTGGGGGAGGGACTCACGTAGGCCCGGTTACACAATGCACAACATTCACAGGGAGTTCTTCCTCCAATAAAAGAAAAAGCGGATAATTGCA